AAAATATTTACACTTTGGGTCCAATTTGGACATTTTCATTTAGGGGTGTACTCACTTTTGTTGCAAGCGGTTTAGACATCAATGGCTGTGTTGAGTTATTTTGAGTGTACAGCAAATTTACACTGTTATACAAGCTGTACACTCACTACGTCACATTGTAGCAAAGTGTCATTTCTTCAGTGTTGTCACATGAAAAGATAGAATACATTTTTACAAAATTGTGAGGGGTGTACTCACTTCTATGAGATACTATACATTATTTATTTCATGTACTTATATAGCGCCGTCAATTTACGCAGCGCTTTACATATATATTGTACATTCACATCAGTCCCTAACCCTCAAGGGGTGTACAATCTAAGGTCCCTAACTCACATTCATGCATACGCATACTAGGGCCAATTTAGACAGGATCCAAATAACCTACCAGCATGTCTTTGGAGGGTGGGAGGAAACCGGAGTACCCGGAGGAAACCCACGCAGGCACAGGGAGAATATGCAAACTCCAGGCAGGTGGTGCCATGGTTGGGATTTGAACTAACAACCCTAGTACTGCCAGGCGGAAGTGCTAACCATTTAGCCACTGTGGTGCCAAGACATAGAATATAATGGAAATTGCAAGAAATTGTTGCAAATCTTCACAAGTAGAAGTAAAGTCTTCAGAAATCGCACCTGAAATTGCACACAGATTGCATGATTTATATTGCAGTGGTTTGACCGGTGACTAAGGGGCAGTTCATCTCACTGCGTTGTAGTGGTGTGTGGGCATGATGTGTTAAAAAAAACCACGTGCCGCCAATTGAGCTTCATGAAATGTTCATTTGACGTTTCAGTAAAGTTTTTTTTTTTTTTTTTTTAAAGGGGGTGGGGCAATGCGGTAATCCCACCAGACTGCACCACACACCAGCAACTGGGTTGAACAGTGGCTGGTGTATTGTGAGGGTCCAACAGTAGAAAATTAAATTAAAAAAAAAAACTTTACTGAAATGTTGCACAGACATTTCATGAGGTTTAATCAGCCGCTGCACAGTGCAAAGCTGTGGATTGCCTCGCACTCTGCTGCGCTGAAATAAATACTGCATAATGTACCTTTTTTTTCACCACATACCACCCCCGCCCAACACCGTGACGGAGTGGTGTGAAATGGACACACAGGAGACCAAGCATTTTGCCCTGTCATGAGGTGCCAGTGTGCTGGAATAGCCACCCAACGCAATCCCACCACATCTGCTGTGATTGACCCCTAAGGCAAATGACTAGTAACCAGTGACCTCCTTGTAGCTGATTTTTCCCTATTAAGAACATAAATAGGAAAAATGTTTCCAATCAACCCATAGGAAGAATGGAATGTGGGAATTTTAAATGTACCACTATACCAGTTTACCTAAAAGTAATATACAGCTTTATTTATGCATAAAAATTCAGTTAAAAAACCATATCCATCAAAAACACCAGGTATAATGAACGTTCTATAAATCATGGATCAGCGCGTTTCGCATATAGGTTGCTTCCTCAGGATCCACTTGCTTGTATTATCTTGAGATATGGTAGCAAAATATCAAACTTAAAAGTCTTAGAACTAATCAAGACCCCACAGAACAAGATGACCCCTTGCAGGGCTACCACAAACAGCCCCTGAAATGTGCACACAAAGTAACAAATTGCAGGCACAATCCCAACAACAGTAAGTATGGTCGGACGGGGATACCAGAAAATACCTGAACCACAACTATATGAGAGGAATCAAAATTGCACTGAATGAAAGCCCAAAGTGATTTAACCACTTCCCGTCTGGCCCATATGCATTAACAGCCGGACAGGAGCAGTGCAGGATTGGGTGGCCGTTTATAAACGTCCTCCCGCATCCATTGCCTGTGTGCGCTCCCTGGGAGTGCGCGGCGCCGTGATCCAGTGCCCGCTGTGTGCTCCGGAACACCAATCGCTGTACGGGACCTCTGTGTGAAGTCCCGATCATGTGATCACTGATTGGCCAATCAGTGATCACATGAATAAGCAATATGTCACTTACTAACATCATTTCTTACTACTAGTGAAATCTGTGAATGATCACAGAGGTCACATGGTACAAGGCATTTCACAACAGCCTTGTACCATGTGGCAAGCTGTGACCAATCACAGCTCTCACAGTATTTCTCATTGGTTGCAAGAATGCAGCCAGAGAGAAGGAGAAATTATTGCTTTTGCAGCCTTTATGGGTAAAAGCAATCAGTGTAAGAAAAAAATCTTCATCACCCCCCGCAAGTAGTATAGTGTCACCATGGTGACACTGTACTGCTAGGGTGACAGCAGTACAGTATGTTAAAAAAAAAAATAATAATATTATTTAAAAAAAATAACACTTTTTTAAAAAAATTATAATTTTTGGTTATAAACTAATTTGGGTTATTTTTTTTACTAAAAAGATAGCTGAATACATTTTGGTCAAGATTTATGAAGAAATATTATTTATTTGCAAAATTGTATAAGAAAAATACTTTTTTTTAAATGTTTGGACTTTTTCATTTATATAGCAAAAAATAAAAATCCCAGTGGTGAATAAATACCACCAAAATAAAGTTTTATCTGTCTCAAAAAATGCTAAAAAATTGGGTACAGTGTTGCATGACCGAGCAATTGTGATTCAAAGTGTGATAGCACTGAAAGCTGAAAATTGGCCTGTACAGGAATTGGGTGAAAGTGTCCGGAGTTGAAGTATTAGTTTCACACATTGCAAAAAGTGTCCCCACCCGCATAGCCGTGTCAGTCATTCACCACAGCAGACTGCATTATAGTTCTCAAAGCACAATGAGGTAATCAACGCGCCTGTAGTCTATTGACACTTTGTCCAGCTCTTCAACTGAAAGCCTGTTCAGAGGTAAGGGCAGAGAGCTGGAGGAAGAGTTGGCAGGTGCCTGACTTTGCACCCTCCATCCCCTGATCACCGGTGCAATGCTTTGCATGCTCCTGTGAAAAAAAATAATAAATGCACATTTTCTTTTTCTGAAAAAATATGTGCATTTATTATTTTTTACTTGAAGGTCAACCTAGCCTTTAAAAAAAAATTGAATACATAGCATATAAGCAATAACCAAAAAAACTGCGCTAAAATGCGTGATAAAATATTTAAATAAATGAAATATGATAATCTATTTCTGCCACCTCTAAAATATTTAATATAAACAATGTATCCTCTAAGTGATTCAGTAGTGCAAAATATCATAAACATAAATTTCAAAGTGAAAAAAAGTCCAAAAGTCATCCCAAGATGATTCATATTCTTCAAGTAAAATCACCACGTGAGTAAAATATATAGTGTCCCCCTCTTGGGTGTGCACTCACCACATGGATGTGTCTCCCATTCTCATGGTTGGCTTAATCGTTTAAGAGATGTTATCCACAAGACCATCAACTGACTTACTGCATGACAAACACCTCCTCCAATTCACCACAATATCTCTTATTCTAGGATATCCCAATGACATAGCATAGATATGGATATATGATTGGTATACAGGTGCTGATGAATAGTAAGCAACCACCTTCCCTTCTCTTGTGTGATCATCATGTAAAAGACAAAAAACAAAGGAACCCCAATGGTGCAGTATAAAGCAGCTCCTTTATTGCCTCAAATAGACAGCTACTTACAAGCTAGAAATGGTTATCAAGCCCAATTATGTTGCAGATAAGGTAACCAGCTAAGTGAACTATGGAAATCACTGCAGTTCTCTCACCACCACCGAGTTCCACAAAATGGCACCAATCTTGTTACTTCCGGTTCCGATCATGTCACTTCCGTTTGCCAACCTGACGCGTTTCATCATATCCGACGTACTCCTATTTTGCGCTACTGAATCACTTAGAGGATACGTTTATAAAAAATTGACCTCATAAAAGGTACCAAAAGAAAATTTAGTTTGACAAACTTGTTAAATAAATAAGATTTATATATATATTTTTTTTACATTTCAGGCACTTATATAGCTCCGTAAATTTACGCAGCGCTGTACATATATATATTGTTCATTCACATCTGTCCCTAACCCTCAAGGGGCATACAATCTAGGGTCCCTAACTTACATTCATACATACACATACTACGGCTAATTTAGGATCCAATTAACCTACCAGCATGTCTTTGGAGTGTGGGAAAAAAACCAGAGTACCTGAAGGAAACCCATGCAGGCACAGGGAGAACATGCAAACTCCAGGCAGGTGGTGCCGTGGCTGGGATTCAAGCCAATGACCCTAGTACTGTTAGGCGGAAGTGCTAACCATTTAGTCACTGTGCTGCCCATAGATTCTCCAATAAACAACATCATGCAACAGCTTAAATAACCCCCAGATCTGAAGGGGTTAAACTACAAACAGATTAAAAAAAAGCCAGGCATGGATTCATTAAAAATCATGATGCAGTGTATTTCTGCATATGGCTGATTGTCGTCAATTCAGCATCCTGTAATTGCCTGTACACAAAACTTTTTTTCCAGTTTTGTATAGAGGGAAGAGGGGTTAGAGCACCTGTCAAGTTTTTAATGCGGTCTGTGCCCCTATTAGGGAGATTCACTATTAGTCCTGTTTACAGATTGTGAGAGTGACAGAAAATCCTAAATAATGAGTTGTCACCAGAACAGGAAATCTTCCAAAGGGGACACTAGTTCTGGTGACAGAAAAGGATTCCCTTACTTGAAGGGATTTCCTCACTTCCTGCTATAGCTTTAGGACAGGAAGTGAAGGGAAATCTCCTTAACCACTTGCCTACCGGGCACTTATACCCCCTTATTTACCAGGCCAATTTTAAGCGCTGTCGCACTTTGATTGACAATTGCGCGGTCATGCAAGATTGTACCCATATGAAATTTTTATCATTTTATTCTCACAAATAGAGCTTTCTTTTGGTCGTATTTAATCGCTGCTGGGCACTTTACTTTTTGTGCTATAAGCAAAAAATTGCAAAAAAATTTGAAAAAAAAAAAGTTTCTTTGTTTCTATTATAAAATTTTTCAAACAGGTAATTTTTCTTCGCTGATGTGCGTTGATGAGGCAGCACTGAAGGGCACTGATAGGCGGCACTGATAGGCGGCACTAATGAGGTGGCACGGATAGGCGGCACTGATAGGCAGCACTAATGAGGTGTCACGGATAGGTGGCACTGATTGGTGGCACTGACTGACATCACTGCTGGGCACTGACTGGCACAACTGCTGGGCACTGACTGGTGGCACTGACTGGCAGCACTGCTGGGCTGCACTGATGGGCACTGGTGGGTGGCACTGGTGGGCACAGGTGGGTGGCACTGGTGGGCACAGGTGGGTGGCACTACTGGGCACAGGTAGGTGGCACTTCTGGGTGGCACAGGTGGGTGCATTGCTGGGCACAGGTGGGCGCACTGCTGGGCACAGGTGGGCGGAACTTGTGTGTGGCACTGCTGGGCACCGATCATCAGGGCACTGATGATCAGTGACCCTGATGATCGGTGCCGATCCCCGCTCTGACAACTGCCGGTTTTCGGCAGTACTTTCCTCACGATCTGACAGCGTGAGGAAAGTGCAGCCGAGAACCGGCATTTGCATTTCCCGGAGATCACCGTGTCATTGGACACTGCTGATCACGTGGTAAAAGGCCGCTGTGATTGGCCTTTTACCACGTCCATAGGACACAGCATTCACGGAGATCGTCGGGTGCGCGCAGTGCAGCCGTCAATCGGCTATCTGCGGTCGGCAAGTAGTTAATGGGATGCAAATGGGAAAAAACCTAACAGAGGTTATAACCCTCCCATACTTTATTGAAAATGAAAAGTTTTGCCTTTAGTTCTACTTCAAGCTGGTAAATGGAGTGTGACAGACCCAACCGGGGCAGAGGCTTTTGGAGGGACTAGGGGCTAGCCGCCTACCCACAAATTATGGTCCATGAAGAGAACAGATCATTCTCTAATGATAGACAATATGATGAACGCTGAGAGCCAGGCTTGGCTTAATTCTCTGAGTAAAGACAATACAGCTTCCCTTCTGAAGTGGATGGAAAGGTGTAATATTACCTTTTTCAGGTTAATGGTTAGAGGAAATATGGGCCCTCTTGCAGACTGGGTTGGAGAAGCTCCTCAACTTGGGACAGAAATATTTATCCCCAATCTCCCTCAAGAAATCTATGAAGATAAATTAATTTCACTTTTTCAGACTGTTGGAATATTGTATGAGTTTTGACTTGTGATGACTTTTCTAGTGGACAGAGTATACAAGTGAAAGGCAAACACCTGAAAGACAGCATGTGTAATGCACTTTGTATATCCAGGGGTGTGGGCTTGTTGCTGGACTGTCTGAGGTGGACTCCCTGGCTTGTCTGGGTGCCTGGCTGTTGATTAGCTTAGTGTTAACTAGATCCCTGTTAGCTGTTGGTTGTGCCGTATACTGTTTGCAGTGTTTAGGATAATGTGATCAAGCTCTTACCTAATCAGTATCCCAATGTGTAATATTTGTTTTATTGTTCATGTTTGGACTGCCCCTTTTGCTGAAGTGTATAAAAACCTGTATTTCTGTTCAATAAAGAGTTCCAGTTGCACCTAAGCTAATGTCATCTAGTCCTTGGGTACAATACCCAGCTATAATACCTTGGTCCTGTGTCTCAGCGGTAAGGAAACAGTACTCTGACAGAAGCATCCAGGTCTTTGGTGCCAGGCGGTCCGTCACATGGAGGGATAGCACAATGCCATGCATTTGACGCTTAGTTTTCTGAGAAGTCTTGATGATCTCTTCAGTGAGCTGCTGCTTCTTTATTGTACACAAAGCCTGAGGCAGGTCCATGACCAGGCTGCCTTTGGTCATCTAGAGCATAATGTCCAGACAAGTCCCAGGGTGTGCAGGACTTATCTGCACCATCTGCCAGAAGTGTTTGTTTAAATCACGACTTCAATGGAGTTGTACATTTTTTGGTAGATAAAGCAGTTCACAAATATGCAATTTACCTTTGTATATATGTATAAGCTACAAAACAGCCTATATCCCCGCGCTTTGGATAATGGAGAAAGTGAAATCCTGACAAAATATAAACATATTAAGTGTAACAGAACTTTATTTTACATTTTGCACACTTTGGTGGAAGTTTCTTTATTTCTTTTCTTTTATATGTGTTCTTTCTTTTATATGTATTATTGATTTATTTATGATCCTTTGTTCCTTAGGGTCAAATTAATTTAACTGAGCGCTGTTATGAGGACGTTTTAATTACTATATATTTGTTCAATTTACCTTTGTAGTTTGCTATAATTCATTAGATTTAAAGCTTCAGATTGTAAACCTATGAAATGATAAATGAACAAAGCATATCCTCATCTATTGTGTACAATTCTTGAAGACTGTCCAACCCCTCCTCCCTCCCCATCACACAGAAGGTGGTTGACAGCTTCAGATGTGCATGTTCCCCTAAAAGACGAGTAGAGGGGTGTGTGTCCATTCCTTCTGCTCAGGTCCCCAGCCTTTTGGAAGCTGAGAAATACCATCATGTCAGGGCAGGGCTGTGGAACGGACAGGTAGGCCTAGTGGCAGGGTAACGCACTGGCTGACGACAACCACCACCAACAGACCGAAGTCCCTCAGGGCGCGGAGTCTAAGTCCCAGGCTGCCCTTCACCAGGGCCCCTGATGGTGGGGATGGACTTGACGCAGCCAGGAACCAGGTCGCGGCCCCCGAGACACCCCGGCTGCGGTAATGGCCGCCGCCAATGGCGTGTAGTTGGTGAGAATGACAATAGCGTAGTCAGGCAAGCCGGGTCGACAACAACGGGACAAAACGGTACAGAACAGTAGACAGAGAATCACAGGTCACGGGCAAGGTTCAGCAACGGAAGGTCAGATCGAAGGAAAACACAGAGAATGGTCTTAGTCACAAGCCGAGTCAGATACCAGAAGAGTCACGAGCGTATACACAGAGCTGTAGCAAGACAAAGACACAAGTGCAAAGAGCATGTGCGGATCACAGGCTTATATGTACTCAGCCACACCCCTCTGGGGGATGGACCTCAGAGACCTGAAGGCATAAAAGATTCCCACCATGCTCAGCAGAAATCCAAGATGGATGCCAGCACATGGAGTAACATAACTTCTGGGAAAAGGTAGGACCTTGACACATCTAAACTGTGTAATTTGGAAATTTGTAGAAGGAAGATTTTTGCAGATAACCAAGTACAACTTATATAGGAGGATTTAATTCATAATTGTGTATCACCTGAGACTAGTCACTTCAGTAGGCTTATGTAAGAGTTTATTATCAGTTTAAGCCTTAGACTACTGACCACTCCCATTAAATGTTTTACCACAATTTTGAATTTATTTTTCCTGCTATGACCTCAGGGTGTCCAGGCCCAAAGCCATGTTGTGCCCACCACCATGCTTTTAGCTAGGATGAAATTTTACTGTTCCTGTGGAGGACTTTTTTTTACCTATCATTGTCATTTTCTGCCAAAGAGTTTACCTTTTTGAAGTAAAGGTTTTTTAAGGGTGTGGGAAACGGGAAGCAATAAATAATTTTACAAAACTACACAAAATTTGGTGGATGTTTCTGCAAATTAACACAGCTCAGTTCTTTGATGATCCAGGTTTTATGGATCTTTGGCAAAGAGAACACCTAAAGCATGCTAAAGTTCAAATTGTAATTGATTGTTTGCTTTTTAAAGCAAATATGGCAATGATTATGTGAACTTATTTTGAGAAACGCATGGTTACTGCTTTGTTGCCTTTGCTCCAAAAAAATGCAATTTCCCTGCTGTCCCTGAGGCAGTGGCTTCTTTTTGTGTGCTGAGTTGTGACTTCTGTCTGACTTTATGTGCTGCATGCTTGTTTTCAGTAAATGACTCAGAAAGTATTAAAGTTAGAGGTTCAGCATAATAATCAGTTTGGACTATTTCTTTCTGTGACATGTATCACCTTTTCCCACAATGTGAAATATGAAGGACTTTACCATCACTTTAAGGACTTTTTTTCTTTTTAGGATTTTCTTTCATCTATGCCAATTATGAGAGATTAAGCGCTACATTTTGTATAGTCATTTATTTTTATTGTTACCAGCAATTTTATGTCAGCTGCTTTATTCTCTCTGAATATTAGACATTTAGCGCAGAATTATTTGTGTTATATTAATAATTATCAGTTTACTAAACAGCAGGGCAGCTGCTCAGTACAGGACCAGGAAGACCGTGGAGATCACTGTAGTAGTGAGGGCTGCTACAAAGATAACTGTTATTTGTTTTTTTAACAGTGCTTCATATACACCAGCCACTTTATTAGGTACACCTGTTCAATTGCTTGGTAACACAAATTGCAACTCACGCATTTAGGCATTACAGTGGTGACACCCTAGAAAATTTTGCATTAAAAACGTGAGTATTTCAGCTGTTTTTTTTGCGTTTTTATATTAGCAACATTTTGTGGCTTTTTGTGCGCTATTTAGCGTTTTTAGAGCTTTTTTTTTTTGCCCCAAAAAATGCCTTTTTTTTGGTAAAACAAAAGTCCAAAAACGCTGATTTACCATGTTTTTCAGCGTTAAGGCGTTTTTACAGCTAAAAAAACTCCTCTATAAACCCACTAGTCCATAAGTTTTTTTTCCAGCCAAAAAAAAAACGGGGTTTTTGGTCAAAGTCCAAAAACGCTGATTTACCGCGTTGGGCAAAAACGCGGTATGATGTTACAGGCAGCATAACATTCTCCACGGCTTCTCCAGACCCTTTCACGTTTGTCACATGTGCTCAGAGTGAACCTGCCAAAATTAGCTCTTGTACAACATCCTTGTTTGCCCATCTCCTGACCCTCTCTGGGTCAACATGTATAAATACATAAGTGGTCCATATAGTGAACTTGGTGGAGAGTTATTTACTTTAAGGTCATCACAGAAGACAAGGGGGCACTCTTTACATCTTGAGGAAAAGAGATTTAATCTCCAAATACGAGAAGGTTTCTTCACAGTAAGAGCTGTTAAAATGTGGTTCTGGCCAGCTCAGTAGATTGCTTTAAAAAAGGCCTGTATTCTTTCCTAAATGCACATAATATAACTGGATACTAACATTTATAAGTAAAGTTCTTCCAACTACACTCCCTCAGCCTCAGAGATTCTGCTCTCTCCTGGCTCTCATCCTACCTGTCACAACGCTCTTTCAGCGTTACCTATAACGTTACCACCTGCCCCTCGCTCCCCCTCTCTGTTGGGGTCCCTCAAGTTTCCGTCCTCGGGCCCCTTCTCTTCTCCATCTACACCTCCTCCATTGGCCAACTCATACACTCTCACGGCTTCAACTACCACCTATATGCCGATGACACACAAATCTAACTCTCAACCCCCCCACCTCACCCCCTCAGTCTCCGCCCGAATCACACACCTACTGAGCGACATAGACTGGATGTCGCTCCACTT